TACACGCTGAGGTTCGTGCTGGTCTTTGCAGGCTGCTAAATAGGTCGGAAAAACCGCGGGGTCACCATACTGCTCCGCCTCCTCCGCCCAGTTGTGAGCCAGGTCCATGTCTCGCCTGCCCAGCTCCACGCGCTCGATGGCCTGGTTGGGGAGGTGGCGGGCGACAGTCATCCACTCCTCCAGCTCCTCATCCACTTCCTCCTCATCCGGGCCGTCGTCGTCCTCCGCCGGGGGCAGGTCCTGCTCTCCTCGCGGAACCACTCCGTGCGCCACAAACGCCTCCCGCCATGTGCCGTGCTCGCCCCGGGCCTCGTCCTCCGTGCGCCAGGGCACGTGCAGGAGAACATGCTGGCGGTAGTAGGCCTCGTTGCGGACCTCGCAAGTGGAGCGGCGGAGACGAGGGTTCACACCCACGATGTTGCAGAGTGCCGGCTTGAAGTACCTGCAACGCGACTAATAGTAGTGGGGGATCGAAACACCGATAAAACAGTCGTTATGCACAAAACATTCGTGCAATTCGTGCAATCGTGGAAACATTCAGATAAAATTTAATCCTACGCCAACGATCATACACTGGAAACGCAAGTTTGTGAATATCCAATCGTACACTTAGACGGGTAAAGGTGTGTTATTTTTTTTTTAGAAAATTCGCACGTTTACCCCCGTAAGTGTACGAATGGGTATTCACACACCTGCAGGTGAGCGACATTCACACACTTGCGTTTCCAGTGTATGAATCAGAAAATGTGGTTGTACCAGAGAGTTACATAAATAGAGATATAGATGTTCATGCAGTAAAAGGGAAAATGCATTCAACGCGGGCTACTGATTTTTTCAAAGGTGAAAATAAAAGGTCGACTGATACATGTGCATGCGTAAAAACAAACCGATCATTACCGTAGTTAAATAAAAACGCGGAGAACCGTATTTGTATTGTTCTGATAAACCGTAGTGCGTTTTCGGATTTTGTACATTTTTCACAGGATAAATGTACTAATACCCGAAGTATAAATTAACGAGAACTCTGCAAACAGGAAAGAACAATTCTGTGCCAAAATCCTAAAGAAATTCGTGGGGCAGTTTAAGAGGGTAGTGGCACACGTACAAATGCACAACCTTCGAGTTAAACACATGCAACTTCACTGCTACGCAGTTGAACTCTTGGAAGTATGTAACTTGTAGTTGCAAACGTACATGAGACAGTTGTACACTGTTATTTAAATACTGTGATGTCACATTGTACAAAATGTTAAATGTGTCACATTGTCTGATATATCATGTGACATTCGTTGTAACGTGACAGAGTTACGCTCACCATGCACTGGGCTTGTGCGGCCAGAGCGATGCAGGGATGTCACGTTCCAAAAAATGTGACATATTTAACAGAATGTTATACAATTCACATTTAGTAGAATGTGACCTCACAGTATCTTAACAACAGTGTAGTTGCACACTTGGTAAATTAGTATATTTGAACAAAAATACTATGGCTACTTTACTGGCTGCTCATAGATTTTGGTCATCAAAAACGAAATGAAATACTAGGAAAATATGTTACATGCAAGTTCTTACCGCTTGGTTGCTCGGTTGTATCTGTAGTCACGAGCAAAGGACCATAGCGTTACCTCCTCCAGGAGACGTGGCCGTTTTGGATAGCGCTCGAGTACAGACCCTCTGGGAGCGCCCTGGTCAGAGTTTGACTCTCCGCCGGTCTCGCCCTGCTCACCACCCTCTTCAGCGAGCGGGCCGTCGTCAGGATCGTCTACTTCGTCCTGAGAGTCAGCGTCTCCAGTAGGCCTGCCACACAATACCCAGTCATTAGCGTAAAAATTTACCTTTACGAACTGCCTAGAGCAATGCCACAGCTTTTGGCTCGTTGCTAGGTGAAGGATCTCCTGCGAAGAATAGTCCCTTTCGCTGATGGACTGAACGCAACGTCTTTGGATGGCCTTGCGCGCACTTTCATCATCCCTCAGATCCTTCATCGCATCTTGAAAAAGTTCTTGCATGCCCATGGACTTTTTCTCTCCCTTTGCAGCGTATTTCGCAAGGTAATTTGCAAAGGCCTGTTTGGAAAGGATCGGCTTACCATCCATGTTCCCAATCCACGCAAGAATGGCTGGTATTATGTGACCGTTAAGAAGAGGGTCATTTCGGCGCGGGACGAATTGGGGCTCGCCCTTGTCGTCAAACACGATCTGAGTCTCGTCAGAGAGGGGGAAGGGGAACTTAAATCTACACTCTAGAGGCTGGCCCGGTCTCTTGCGACGCAAGCAGTAGCCCTCAGAGCAGCGAGTGTGCCGCTGCACACGGTTCAGGATCTCTCCCAGGTGGCGCTCACGGTCCTCAGGGGCGACATCGCTGGTGCGCTTCCGGCATGGGTGCACGGCCGAGTTGGGGAGACCCAGGCCGCAGTTCCACGCGCTGACGATGCGGTCGAAGTAGGCGACGACGTCAGCAAACTCTTCCGGGGTCATCTCCTTGAGGCGCGTCACATCTGGAGCACCCTCAAGGTAAAGAAGAGCATGAACATGTGGGCTTCCACGGAACTGCCACTCGAACCGCCACCAGAAGTCCTTTAAGGGATACATCAATTTAAAAATTTTGAGTAGGAAATACTCTGCCCTTTTAATGAAAAACATGCTTGGGACAAATGGCTGGTCTGCAATGAAGTTTCGCCGCTGCTCCTCTGTCAACTCGTCAAGCGACACGCGTTCCTCGTCGGAGAGAGGGACGTGTTGCTGCTCTAGAATGAGACGAAACAGGTCCGGCCAGTGAAGATCTGCAGCGGAGAGAGTAACAAACAGAGTAGGCAGTCCAAGCTCGTTAACCATGTCCAGCAACTCGCTAAGGCGCGCCCCCCAGTACTGACGCGTGCCGTGCAATTTAGCGCCATAAAACATGATCTCCCGTGTGAGTGCTGGCCTAGCTGCCACCATCTCGCGGAGCTCGCCGACCGTTCTGCCCTGCAGCGCCTCGTTCCTCCTCACGAAGAGGCTGCCGGCCCGCAGAGCCTCGTGCCGCGTCACTGTATTGAACGCGAAGAAGCGGAAGCGAGGGTCGTTGGCAAACCGGCCATCCTTGTACTCCAGCAGGTGTTTGAAGTACTGCCTCGGAGTAACACGGTACTGCCGGTCGAGACTTAAATCAGCTGCACCTGTGGGGAAAAGGGTCGGAAATGCCATAGCTACATAGCCCGGAGTATTGAACTCGTCCACCGGGGCGCTGCCACCGGAGGGCCAGTCCAACACAGCCGACACCTGCTCCTCCTGGTGGTGGTGCTGCAAGAGCGGGACACCTGATGACGCGATGCCGTGGGCACCCTGCTCCGCTACTCCGACCCCCGCATTCTCGACGAGGACCTCGGCGTCGTCCTCACGGCTCGCGACTTCTTGCGACCCGGTGGTTGCAGGCTCTGGCGGTGGCGAAGCGTTGAATGCCGCAGGATCATCGGGTTCCTCGTAGTCATACCTTTAGGCAATGAAAAAGGCCACTGAGCAATTGTTGCATAGGAAACATCTTTCTGTGAATGCACCGTTACAATGAACAAAGCACTTCCCGATGCTACTTTCCGCCCCATATTTTAAGTTTAAAACAAACCGAATTTTTCACCTATTTATTTTTCCGGAAAACTACCAACCGTAATTTAATGGCAAATTGTTTGCAAAGCGGTCATAACACGAATTGAGATAGCCTATCTTGATCGTTCAGATAGGCTAAGGTAAGGCTTGTGTGAAACTCGAAAAGTCGGTGCCTTTCGAGATTAAACTGAAAACAGTTTCCTTTCATCTGACTTTTCCAGTAAAACCCTGGCCTTACCTTAAGAATTTAAAAATTACTAAATAAGTAAAACATGAGAATTCTTTAATCTATGCTGAGCGGATGCGAAACGGTTTTTTTTTTTCGGAAACAACCAGCAATAGTTGCAGAAATATATTATAGCCCTATTCATATTTACAAGATAATATCCATTGCCGAGCCACTTATTACTTACCCCTGTACTTCCGAGAAGGCATCCCCGTCTTCTGGAAGTAGAGCCAAATTGTCCTCGTTCAGGTCAATGTTGGCGTAGTGAGGGTTGTTCTCGCGGAGCCAGACGAGAGCGGCTCGGACGACACCTGACCGAACCCGGAAGTCAACGTGGCCACTGGAGTCCCGCATGCGCACCGCGACAACTGACGTCAAGTCCTGCACACGTTTAGTCCCAGAGGGTTACGTTATGACTAAACAATGTACGAAAACGTATTTATGAAAAAAGTTCCACGTTTCGCACAAAAAAAAGGAAAATAGTTAGCTGTAAGTGGTTCAAAAGATTCGATTTGGGCCATAGAATTTCAGAAGATTCGATTCGGATAAAATTTTAAAAATTTGATTTGATTTGAACCTGATGATTTACACAGCCTTAAGCTTAATATTAACACGTTGACGCCATTTAAAACTAAACGTGACAGGGTAGATTCATTAAAAGGACACGGCTCAAGGAGGCAAATAAGCACGCCAAGCACGTATAAAGCAACATTCGAAATCCAAGTGTGGTCAGCTGACTGGCTAATCAGTAGGTCCGTACATGGTAAAAACAATGTCTCACTTTTAGAAGGAAAAGAGAAAACTTTGAGGAAATTCCTTGGTTTAAGGAAAGCTTCTCAGATTTAGGGGAGGTTTCCTCAAAAAATGTGTGATTTCTCCTCAATTTTAGTACAGGTGCCTTAAAATCTCAGGCGAAATCCGAGAAGTTTTAAATAAGACATCAATTTTAACGAGTGAGCAGACTGAGTGAGCAGACACCAGTTAATCGTGATTTTCCAACCGTTAGATCTTATACCACTACGAAACCGATATAAATGAATAATACTGGTTACTTTCAGTTACGAACTGTTCATAGTAATTATCGCGAAATGACGAAATTCGATAGCAGTGTTCGATAGCGG